CTCCATTGCTGAGTTTCATTTCCTTGCAGATCTGAGCAGCCGAGTAGTACACTTTTATGGCAGTGGACCTGCTAATTCACATATGAGAAGGATACTAAATTGTAAGTTCAGCAAAACAGGCTGGATACAGTATCCCAAACTGCGCTTAAAACTGAGCAGCGTCGAGTGCACACAATACCACTTAGTCTTTCGCCAAAGGCAGCACCTACAAGATGGAAAATGGAACCAGCGTCGTTCTCGCTTCCTAGCCTCATGCCAGAGCTTTCCGGACTGTCGCGCGCAAGAAAATTCGCGTCATGATGAAATGGAAATCAACCGATTTGTGCAAAGGGCGTATTACACAGTCTAATAGGGTGACCAAATGGGGTTACGGTATGCCCAACTGTGTTCATTCACGGAGCTGACACATTGAATATCACACGCTATTTTCGGGGTTACTGTATCCCGCCTGTTTTCCTAAACTTATAGCCTTGTGAAATGGACCACTTCGAGGATAATCATACAAGTAAGCCTTCGACCAAACAGCCATTGTCTCTCAAGCATTGTTCTCACTTTTCTATTGATCTTTGTCATAAACTGACGAATCACACCCCGAACAGACGGCGGGACATTTTCGGTGCTACATTTGCATCAGACATGACGACTGGCATTCCGCCCGAAAAATCCTTCACTACCGCCCACGCCAGAAACCTTATTGCCTTCATTCAAGCTAAGAATAGTCTGAGCTATAGAGTACGGATGGAACATGAAAAATGGGGCCAATTTCTTACAGCAGAAACACTCACTCATATCATATTGCAGCCACTTTTGTTGCGATCCATTCTCGCCTTGAGTGTAGTATTTGAGCGCATCAAGAACTGCTTGTGGATTTTGTTGCTGTTCTTGTTTAGATATTTGCGATTCCATTAATAATCGTGCCCATGCCGATGGCATACCCTGAAACAAAAAAGCTTAAAATGAGCTATTGGAAAGCAAAACTTGTTGGGGACACTTAGAACCTTTGTAAAGACCAACCTAATAAAACTTACCATAAAAATATATTCGTAGTAATCACGCATTTCAGCTTTCAATATTATGAAAAAGGTAGAGCTTAGCACAAGAACGTGTTTGTGAGCAGAATGATGGGCTAGGGATGCATTTCCATGCTAGTG